ATGATAACACCGGTGATTATTGATTTAAAAACAACAAAATCCACATCAACAACAAATTCATCAATTAATAACAACAACAACGATAAAGATGTTAATGGTGATGATGATGATATTAGTGAGTCAGTGCCTTCATCTATTTCCACCTACAATGATCCAAACAACAACAACAACAATCATGCAAACGAGGATAATATCCATAATGATGGAAAAAATAATGTAACTAATCCGGATAAGGATAAAAATCCAAATAACGTTATAATGATGGACATTGATATAAAAAAGGAGCCAACAACCATAACAACAACAACAGATTCATCGTTGAATAATAATGAAGAAATTATGGAACAAACAACAGATGATGATGATGATGGTGATGAACAAACAAAAGTCAATTATGAAAATGTTGATGAAAATGATGGTGAAAAAAAGAAAACAAAACATATGAATAAAATGAATGAAAATGAAAATAATTTAATCCAAAATAATAATGATGATACTATTAGTAGTCATGATGATAATCAAATGGATATGACATTGACCACCACTAGTACTGCTAATAAAAATATTATCGTTGCTGTTGTTGATGATAAACGACCGGAAGATATTATTGAATCAACATTCAATGAAATTGAAATTGATTCAAATGAAAAAACTAGTCGACAAAATAACAATGATGATGATGATGATANGATGATGATTGTTGTTCTTGTATTTCCGATAATGATAATGATGATAATTCAACAAAAACAACAACAAATACTGCCACGACAACAACAACAACTATGATAACACCGGTGATTATTGATTTAAAAACAACAAAATCCACATCAACAACAACAACAGTTTCATCAATTAATAACAGCAACAACAACGATAAAGATGTTAATGGTGATGATGATATTAGTGAGTCAGTGCCTTCATCTATTTCCACCTACAAAGATCCAAACAACAGCAACAACAACAATAATAATAATCATCCAAACGAGGATAATATCCATAATGATGGCGAAAATAATGAAATTATTATAACTAATCCGGATAAGGAGAAAAATCCAAATAACGTTATGATGATGATGGACATTGATATAAAAAAGGAGCCAACAACAACAGATTTATCGTTGAATAATAATAATGAAGAAATTATGGAACAAACAACAGATGATGATGAGTATGATGATGGTGATGAACAAACAAAAGTCAATTATGAAAATGTTGATGTAAATGATAATGGTGAAAAAAAGAAAGAAAAACATATGAATAAAATGAATGAAAATGAAAATAATTTAATCCAAAATAATGATGATGATACTATTAGTAGTCATGATGATAATCAAATGGATTTGACATTGACCACTAGTACTGCTAATAAAAATATTATCGTTGCTGTTGTTGATGATAAACGACCGGAAGATATTATTGAATCAACATTCAATGAAATTGAAATTGATTCAAATGAAAAAACTAGTCGACAAAATAACAATGATGATGATGATGATACGATAATTAATAATAGACAAAATAAGCAATATGGACAACCAAAACAACAAATTTGTCCTCGAAAACATCGTCCTCGTCATCATAATCATTCATGTAGTCATTTAAGAAAACAATGTAAACATTATCAATTACGTGCCTTATTGAGTCAACCATTAACAACAACAACAACGATGATGAATAATCAACAACAACAACAAAATACAATTTCAGGTGAGAAATAACAACAACAACAACTGAATCAAGTCACAATACAAAAACAAACATAATTAAGTAATACAAAGACAACAATAATAAGAAAAAAGTTTTTAATAATGAAAAAAGATGTGACAATATATTGGTCATCATCACACATATATACGACAACATATATTTCATCAAATACGTTGTCAAATGTTTGATGATGGTTACATAATTACGAAATTTTTTTCATTTACTCAATGTTTTTTACCTGAATGTGTTTCAGTCTGTGTGAATGCCCAAGCAAGAAAAAATTGTTATTAATTGTAATTTTACCTGACAAAAAAAAAATGTCCAAATTGAAGATGATTTTCTTTTCTTTTCACATTTTCTTTTCCTTTTTGTGATTAATGTTCATTTGTTGTTCATATGTCTATATTTGTGTGTGTGTGTGATAGGTTTGGTTTCTTTTTTTTTTTTGATCATTATTGCTTTCCCCCTTCTTTGAATGAATGACCATTCAAAAATATAATGTCTATATGGACATCATTGATGAAACAAACAAATGCAAACAACAATTGACATATACGTCACATACACACAGACAGGGTCAATAATAATCATCATTATTATCATCCTACTCTACTTTTTTTTCCATTTTAAGGATTTTTTTTCTTTAAAAAAGACAATTTTTCATTTTTTTTTTTTTGTTCATTCGGGAATACACCTTCAGTATCATCATCATCAACTGGACAATCGAATTGAATGAAAAAAAGTTAATCCGGCTAAAATGAATTTTTCATTCATTCGATTTTTCAGTCAAGTGTTAGGGCGTTAATTTTATTTTTTTTTTAAACTTTTTTGCTGAAAAATGGTTTTTTCTTTTCACTCAATTTCACTTTGCTGCATCACATAAGCCTTCTTTACACAATTGTTGATGATGATTGGTAGTGATGATTTGATGTGATGTAAAAGTCATTCTTTTTTGTTCGTTTGAAAGATTTTGAAAAGTAGCCACCATCACATACATAGATAGATAAATTTCAAATGGCCAGTCATTTTTATGAATTGACAGTGAAAATAAATGATGATGCCCGGCTATTGATATGTGATGTGCAAAATCTCATTGCATTTTAGTCTTTGAATTGATTTAAAATTAGACTCTCTGTGTGTGTGATTGGATTGTTTTTAGAAAGAATGTCGAAAAAAAGATTTGCATCTGGACATTTAAACCAAAAACAAAAAAACAGCAGCCATATATCATTTGGTTTTTGGCATTTTAACTAACCACATTCTAAATCTAATTTTGTTTTTTTTGTTGGCTGGCCATCTTCTTTTCAAATGGTCAAAATTTTAAATCGATTTTTCCTTTTGCAAATTTTCCATTCATTTCATTCAACAAAAAGCAGAAAATTTCATTAAATTTCTTCAAAAAGTCCAGTAAAATTTACAAAAAAAAGTTTCAATCCGTTGTGGTGAATGTTTTTTTATTTATTGATGATGATCATCAATTTACAGTAGCCAATTTCAAGCATCATTCATTCATTCATTCATTGTGTGTGTGAAGTGGGTGATTAGTCAATTAGCAGTCAAACTTTGAATGAATTCACTTTCTTTCTTTTCATTCACTACTCTACTCATTTTTCATTTGCTGAATTTATTCAAAATAGTTAGTCAGTTTTGTAGATACAAAAAAAAAAGTTTAATTAATGTTACACGGACATCACACTTTCAAAGTGATGCAGATTAATCGATCGATTCCAATTTGAATTAAACTAAATGAAATGTTGTTGTTGTTGTTATACGGTAATTAAACATTTGTCCATTCAACAACAACAACAACAACTTTAACAAACATCAAGTATAGGAAACAAGGAAAAAAGATGAATGGTGAATTTTGATAGAAAAACAAAAAAATATATTTCTTGACAGGCCGTTGTCCGTTTAACACATGGTGTTCATAATCAAATTGATTTGAATGAATGAATAGAATAGGAAAACAATTCCTGTTGATCGAATTCAATTCAATTTGTAACAAACATTTTGGATGATGATCTTTGCTTCGTGTTTGGTTAGTTGATTCAAGAAAAAATTGATTGAAATGGCCATCACATATATCTGCGAGTGGATGAGACTTTTATATTCTAGAAAAAGTTACGTTTTTTTACGTAACATACACTAATGATCTTTTTCATTTCCAGTATGTTTCGATTTCCATTTTTGTTTTGGTTTTCATCGTTTGTCAAATAAATAAAAAAAAAGATAATAGATTTTTTTTTTGTTTTGTTCGCCACTTTCAATTGTCTATTCTAAACCATATGCCTGCAATGAATAATGGAAATAACCAAAACACATACTTTAGGTCAATCGATATGACAATTTTCTCGTTTTCATTTTTGGTATATAAATTGTTGTTTGGTGGTGAATTTTTGGTGTATCATTCATCTTAGATGATGATGATCATGATGATGATAATCATTAATCATGATACATCTTGAAAATGAAATGAAATGAATGAATGAAATGTATATCTATTTTCATTTTTATTCAGTCATTTTTTTTTTGGCAAACTTTGTTGATGATGACCATGATTGACTGCGTTTGTTTTTGGCCAAAAAAAAGACAGCTAACGTTTTTTTTGTCCCACGTGTATCATCATCATCGGCGACGATTTTTCTCCATTTGGAAACTTATTTAGAAAATTGATGACAAGTTTGGCGTTTTATTTTCATTTTTTGTTTTTGGCTCAGGTCATACAAACCAAACAAATCAATTAATTTGATTCATCCAAATGATTATTATTAATCTTTTTAATAGTGATTTTTTCAATAAGGTCATCGATCTATTGGATTTTTGTTTTTCGAAAGAATCTTTACCTTTGTTTTTTTTCTGTGATTGACTGATGATTTTTTGAATTTTTTTTTCATACTTTGGATAGTTGTCATCCGGATTTTTCTCTATGTATATTTTTCTTGACACACACACACACACACACACACCATGTCCAGAATCGGCTAGAATTCAATCACGTTATGTCATATATGTGTGAAAAAATAGCCCGCTGATCTAATCACCTTAATTGTTTTGCTTCTGTTGCTGCTACTGTTTTTTTCTAATTCTGTGTGCCAAATCTACATAGGTCGATCGATCGGTCGATTGGATTGATCGGTCCATCAGGTTTTTTTTCGTTCAACAATTTCCAAACATGGACCAACTAACTAACCAAAAACAACATTACTTAGTTTGAAGTCCACAGCCTTTTTTGTTGTTGTTATTGTGCGTGAGAATCAACCATTTGATAAATTGAATTCTTTCGTTGGTTGCTGCTGCTGGTTGTTGTTGATTAATTCTATTTAATGATTTTGACTTATTTATGGAGCGACAGATTTTTTAGTCAGAGTTTAGTTGCTGGTCGTTGATGGACGTTGAAGAATTTTTATTTCATTCATTCATCACACTGTTTGGTTTAGTCATTTACCGGAAATTTTCAAATAAATTAAAAAAAACCTAACTAACTAAATCTTTTAGTAGATTTTCGTTAGTTGATGAAATTGAATTATTCAATTTTTCGTTTTACAATTTTTGGATTTCCTTGTTTTGTTTTGGTCCACAAACACCGAATGAATGAATGGTACCATACAAGGCTGGCTGGTGATTTATATTAATTATGGATTTTGGTTGGCCAGGAAAAAAAATATTACGTTTTTTTTTCGTTTAATAAAGTAGAAAAAGAAATGATTATTATTATCGTTGATCCTGACTAATGAAATGTTTTTTCTATTTTTGGTTATTATGAAATATGTTTTTTTTTTCTATTAATTAGCTTTTTTCGTTCGTCCATTTTGTTGTTGAATGATTGACCCATGGTGCCTCACTTTGTATTCACTAACATTAACTAACTTTGATAACAAAAAAGTTTGGCTAGATTGGCTACCACCCTAACTACAATGGACAATTTTTTAAATAAAGTTTTTTCTTTTTTTGGTGTGGATCTATTTTTGGTCACAATATTTTTATTTCATTGCTGGTTGCTCTGGTATATTCGGTGTGTGTTTTCTGGTTTTAGTTTTTTTTGCTTTCATTTTGTAATAATGATGTATATTTAGATTGAACAAAAACGAAATTTCCAAACGAAAACATTTATATCCATCATCGGGTCAAATGTCCACTTAGAATATACAACAAGTTTAGGGAAATATACAGGGTGTAGTTAGATATACAGAAATTGAAATGTTGAATGAAGAATATAAGAAAGAAGATGGAAAAAACCGTTACAGTCCACAAAATAATGATAATAATTGTCCACCACCACCACCACCACTGTGAATGTAAAATAATGGGAACCAAAGTCTTGTAGTTTTTTTCTTCCCTATTACTACTCATTATGTAATCATTATTCATTTATGATGAAAAGATGTTTATTTCTCTCCCCCGGAACATGCATACATATACAATTCAGTGACCGTTATTTTTTCTACTTTTTTTACGGAACGATGAAAAAAAACTTTTCAATAACACTGACAAGGTCAGCACATCGGTCAATCATATTTTTTTTTTCATTCATTCATAAATCCATAATGTCAAAGGCCATTGCTCTTGGCCATCATCTGAGAAAAAAAAGCAACAACAACCAAAACTTATTACATAACGTTCTTCTGATGTTATATCCTGTTTTTATTTCGATTTTTTCTTTCTTTCTTTCGTTGGCTAAAAAAATGAAAGAAAGAAAGAAAGAAATCATCATCATCATTGTCCAAAATGGAAAAAGAAGAAAGTTTCTTGCTTTCGACCATCTGGTCTGATCTGGTTTACCAGGAACTTTTTTCTCGTTTTCTTTTCAGTGTTACAATCATTCACACACACAAACATCTTTTGTTCGGTTCGGGTCCTTTCGAAAATATTGAAGTTTTTTTTTCTCTGCAACAACAACAACGAAAGGTTATCATCATCATCATCATAATCATTCTGAACAACAATTGAAATCAAGTCAATGTTATGCTCTTTTTTTTCTTCTGTAAAAACAGAAAAAAGTTTCCCTTGTGAAGAAGAAGAAGAAGATGTTCTTTTCTATTCAATTCAATTCATCAATGATCACTGGACCAAGTCTTTTCTTTTTTTCTGATCCTTCTTCATCACTATGATGATGAATTCAAACCAGAAAAGAAAGTTTCTAACGACAAATGTTTCAAATGGACAAATAATGAAAAGAAAGAAATTGATAAGAAAAATACTTTTTTGTCTGCTTGCTGCTTGCTGGCTGCTGCATAATAATTCTTTTATTGCGTAACAACCGCAAAGTATCATCATCATTGAATGATGATGATCATTACCAGTTGTTGTTCTGGTTGCTGTTGGTGGTTTATGATTGAAAAGAAAAATAGAAGTAGTTATTATTATTATCATCGGTCGCCATACGCTGAAAACTATTACAGTTTTGAAAATCCGATTTTTTTTCTACTCTCGATAACCATATAGTGTGTGTGTGGATACAAATAGCCACAATATAATTTATTGACTTTTTTTTTGTTTTGGTTCAACTTGAAATCATGTTGTTGTCAATTTTGGTTTCCAGTTCATTTCTCAACATAGATATTTATAATGTCCAGTACGATCGCGTGTACGCGATTTATTTATTTGTGTTTGTGTTTGTTTGGTACGTGTTTAAGTGTGTGTGGGTGGATATATAACAATAGAAAAATAAATACTTGGAAATTGGATGATGATGATGAAAACACACACTCAACACATCAATCGGTGATAATAATAATACATTACATTACATTACAAATTTAAATTATAACATTGTATTTATGAAAGGGAGAAAAAAATAACGTTTTTTTTTCGGTGACAAATGTAATAATGATGATGATTGAAAAAAATCTAATTGATTGATTGATTGATTGGTTGATTATTTGATACATTTTTTTCTCATTGTCAAACTGTCTGTGTGTGTGGGTGTAATCGAAGTTTAAAAAGAGGAAAAAAATTGAAAATCTTTTTTGAAATTCAGTTCAAGCAAATATTTGATCATTGTTTTTCATCATCATTTCATTTTCATGTGTTTTTTAAACGAGAATCGTGACAATATGTCATTTCAACTAGTTCGGAAACAAATTTCCATTATCTTTTTTCTTTTTTTCTCTGTTCAAAGAATCCAGAAAAAAAGGTACCATTTTTGTTTGTTTGAAAATTTAATTTATGTTTACTTTTTTCGATTCCCATTTCGATTCCATTCTGTGTTTCCTGTCTATTTTGGTTTTTTGGTTTTAAATTTTTTTTTTAAATTTTAAAACCTATCGATTTACTGCTGCCATATTCAACCAAAAAACATACTGATAACGACGAGCTTCACTGACCATAAATATTATAATGTTTTTCCACACACACACACACCGGAACTTGTAGCAAATCTTATCAGTTTACCAAAAGAAAAAAAAAGATTTTAAATTTTAAATTTTCAACAAAAAAAAATCATTTTGAAAATGCCTTTCAGGCAACTTTTGATTCTTTTTCTCCATTCATTTATTCATTCAATATTCAATATGCAACGAAATTTTTTTCCCAAAATTCTTTCTTTTTTTTCCAATCTCTGGTTAGAAGTTACCTTCAGAAGATGATTGCTCGAGAAAAAAAAGTTGAGTGATTTTTTTTTTGCTCCGAATAAAAAAAAATCCGGAGAAATAAACGATCTTCGTTGTCGTTATTTTTAGCTTTTTTCTCTACTCCCAAATCGTTATGTATTTTTTTGTTGTTGTTCGGGTAATATTTATTGAAATTATGACCGTCATAATAATAATAATACCCGATATGCTTATTGCTTTTTTTTTCGTTGTCCTTGCCTTGAATTGCTTTTTTTTGGCTTGGATCTTGTTTCTGGATCGGTATAAATGATGATGATGATTTAGCAAAAGTAAATCCAACGGACATTTTGACATGTCCATGACATTTTAGTTTGTTGTCAAATATACAATCATTAACCAGGAAAGAAAAAAAATATTGAAATTTTTCATTTTTTTTTACAACTTTTACTTCCTGTTTCACTTGTGTGTGTGTATTTGTCTATGGTGATTATATAAAAGCAAGCGAGGGTAAAAAAAAAAAAATTTTTAAGAAAATCAAATTTACAATCGACCAGTATGTGACAATGACAATGATGGATGATGATCATCATCATCATCGATAATATCCATAAATAAAAGGAAAAAAAATCTATAAAAAAACTGATCCAGTCCAGTCACTTGAATTTGTTCGTTCGAAATAAAAAAAAGCTTACAAGCATAACCAACCAAAAAATGATGATGATGATCATCCCCTGTATACAACAACTTGATAACAGTATAAGAGAGTTACTCTTTTCAACGAAAAATGTGGATGTATTTTTGTGATATAACTGGCGGCTATATATGTGTTGTATGATGTTTTTTCATTTTCTTTACTCTGGACTTTTTTTTTTGATTATTCAGAAAAATTTTGTTGTTGTCATTGTTATTTACTATGAATTATCTTTGCATATTTTTTTTTGGTGAATAAAATAGACATTTTCTTCCATACTCTCTCTCTCTGATGTTGCACCATATCTCTTTCATCCAAAAGATGATGAATCGAGTTTTTTTGTTGTTGTTGAAAAAAATCAATCGATTTTGCATTTTGGTCCGATTATTTTTCGTTTTGTTCCCAAAACAAAACAAAACACGCGACAACATCAATGATGTGATGTTTTTTCCTTGTTGTTTGGTTATCACACACAAACACACGACGGTCGTTTGTTAAAGCAAATCTTGCTTCCCCATACCCTTAGATCATACATAGATGATGATGATCATTAGATGTAATTTTAATATGAAAAAAATGGAAAAAAATATTCATCATTGATACACACACATGTCATTTCTATCGGGTTATTCAATGATGTTTGATGTAAGCTCGCGCGCTCGGGTTGACCTTTGTGATCGATATTTGTTGACTTGATTTTTAATTGATTTTTTTCATTGATGATAATGGTGGCGGTGGTGGTGTTATTGTTGTTAAGTTTGTATGAAAAAAAATATTCAAATTTTGTTTGGTTGTTCACATGAACTTTACATGTCACATTCAATTATTGTTTGTTTGTTCCTGGTTTTCGATGATGATGATTTCCCTATGTCACCATTGGATTACCGAATCGTTAAAAGTCATTGGAGATTTGTATTTTGGAAAAAAAATGAAAACTTTTTTTTTCTTATTATTATTTGTAATGATGTTTGGGGTTAAAAATATTGAATGATGGAAATGGTGTTTGGTTGGTGTGATGTATGGAATACCGAATGACTTTTTTTTTCATTGCATGACATTTGAAAATCATTAATCAAAAATTTTTGTTTTTAAAATTGAAAATTTCTTTTTTTTCAAAAATTCGTTGAATTAATTTTTGTTTTTTTTCAATTTTGAATTTTTTCTAGAACCAAATTCACAAATATGTAGTACATGTAAAAAAATATTTCAATCACCTTGGCTATTGATGCAACATGCTCAAAATGATCATGGTTTAAAAATTTATGAAGAATTTGATGATGATTTTGATTCATTTACAAATGTTGTTACTACTTCGGCTGGTTTGGATGTTACAAATACAAATGATGATTTTATTCAACAACAAAATCCTAAAATGATGATGATGAATGGCCATCAATCATCATCAACAAATTTGTTACCACCATCAATTAATAAATCAGGCCCTAATGGAAATTCATCACAGCTATGGTCAAATGGTCAAACTGTTACTAATCAATCATCATCAACATTACCGGTTAGCAATATTAATAATCTTCAATCAATAGCTGCAATGATGACAACAGCCGGTTTTAATCTAACAACAACACAATTAGAAGCTATATTACGATCATCCGCAGCATCTAGCCAATCATCATCATCAAATCCTCTTTCATCATCAACATTATCTTTGTTACAAGCAATAACTGCAGCGGCAAATGTCGCAACAACTGGTGGCAATAATAGTCAAAATAATCGTCAACAAATTGCCGCTACTAGTCATCAAACAACAGCAGCATCAGCAACAGATCTATTAGGTCATCATCAGCAACATCATTTAGCATCTGCAGCCGCATCATCTCATCCTTCAAATGCATTATTAAATGATTTGTATTTGATTGGTGTTGGTGGTGGTGGTCCTCTTAATTCAAATAATGCAAGTCTAGAAACTCAGATACCACCAACGACGAATCATAAACGAAATGGACATCATCATCATCATCATCATACAAATCCGGTTACATCAATAAACCAACAACATCAAACATTAACTAATTTTACTAATCATTTTTTTGATGGTTCAACAACAACAACATCTTCGGCAAATGCAGCATTTGATTTATATTCAAAGCAGATGCGACAATTGGCCAATTCAATGACACAACAACAACAACAACAACCATTACCATTATCATTGCCACCACCAACAACGACAACGGCTGCTGCTGCTGCTGCCATTAATTCAATAACACCGAATTTATCGAATGCTAGTCTGATGAATAATAATACTGCTACTAATAATAATAATAATAATGTTTTATCATCATCAACATCATCAAATACTACCTCCTGTTTACAATCGAATCGTAAAAATCGTTTTCAAGAATCATCATCAACGATTAATAATAATAATAGTAATTCACCGGTAATACTTAGTCCATTGGCACCATCATCATTAAACAACGTTACTGATATAACAAATAGGCAACTATCATCACCATCATTGATGATTAATCAACAACATTCACGGCCAAATTCAAATTCATCATCATCATCAGTGAATCGTTTAACATCACCACCGGTCAATACAAATTTATCATCGAATAATGGTAAAAGATTGTTAATCAAAGAAGAAACTGATTCAAATCAATTGAATAAACGTTCTTCGATAGTAGCAGATGATGATTGTAGGGTAAGTCTATTGGTATTTTGGTTTGTTGTTTTTGTTTCATTCAATAAAATTTTTGAATTTTAAAATTAAATTTTTTCATTTTTTTTTATTTCGTTATTTTTAGATTCAACCAAAAGAATCTTCAAACAGCAACAACAACACATTGAATATACGTAGGCCACTTAAATGTGAATTTTGTGGTTTAGGATTTAAAAAAGTAATGAAATTACGTAGACATTTAAAACGTGTTCATAAAGCTAAAAAATCGAATGGTTATAATAGTAATAATGAACAAAAACAACAAAATGAAAATTCAATTAATAATGATGATGAATGTTCATTGAATAATCAAAATCATCAAGATGATTCATCAACAGTAATCGATAATGATGATGATGGGGAAAAATCTTCGACAATGATTATTAATGGATCAGAATCTTCACCGCCACTGGCGCCACCACCACAAGATGATGATTCAACACAACAATCAAATCAATCGAATACGATAACAAATAATAATAATAATAATAATGAATCAGTTTCGATTGAAGAAATTGAAGATAATGAAGATGATGATGATGATAATGAAGATATGGAAATTGGTGTTGATGAAATTGACGACGATGATGATGATGATGACGAAGATGATGACGATGAAGAACTTGATGAAGAAATTGATGATGATTTGATTAAACTTTCGAAACAAAATAAATGTTTAAATGGTGATTTAATTGCTGAAGATTTATCATCTCGGTCATCGGCTAAATTAAGTGATTCTTCATCGATAAAAATTAGTGCAATAACCGATGGAGCTGGACTTCATCAACATCAACAACCACTTAATAATAATCATCATTCACCACCATTTTCACCTCGTTCGATTAATAGTGATCAATTTAATCGATCGATTCAAAAACAACCATCAATAACAACAACAAATAATCATCATTCAACAACAACAACAACATTATCAGCCAAAGGAACAAGTGCAATGCTTAATAATAATATGCAAAATTTATTAGGTGAATGGATGGAAAAAATTGGTTTTACAAATATACAATATAATAATGATACTTATAATAAAATTATGGAAGAAAGTAGTAAAGTTTTTACTAATTATTTGAATAATGCATCGAAATCGGAACGGATTAATATGGAAAATTTATTTACAAATAATAATAATAATAATGGTGGTGGTGGTGGACTTTTGGCATTGAATAATTTACTAAACAATAGTAACAACAAGCAACAACAGCAGCAATCACCACCAATACCAAGATCATCATCGACAACAGCAACAGCAACGAATAATGGATTACCATCGAATAATAATCTACTTGGAACAAATTTTAATGATTTAATGAATAGTCTGCAACAAAATCCAACAAATGCTGCTAATTTAAATATGTTGGCTGGTAGTTTTTTGAATAGTGCCTTTACTGATCCAACATTTGATCCAAAAAAATTGTTAAAATTTGATTTTTTAAATCATGAACAACAACAACAAACAGCAATGGCAGCAATGGCTGCAAATAATCCAACACTTTATTCCAGTTTATGGCCATCATCAATGGGTCCGAATCCATTTTTAAATTTTTCAACAGCAGCTACCGGTTTGAATCCAGAAGCTGCAGTTGAATTTTTACGATCAACAACAAATAAATTATCATCATCATCATCAGATGTTAATAGTGCCTTTATTAATAATAAAGGTGCTTCAATCGCAAATTTGCCACCACCACCACCATCATCATTAACACCAACGGCACAAAATCATCATCATCATCATAGTAATGGTACAACAACAACAACAGCAAATAGTAATGGTCTTCATCACAGTAATAATCGTACAAATGGTGCAACATTACGTAATAGTTTACTATCAAATAACAACAATAATAATAATTCTTCATTAACTGGAATTGGTAATCATCATAATCATCATCGAAGTAATAATCATCATGGTTTACGTTCGTCCAATACCAATTCATCATCAACAGCGACAGCAACGACAACTACGGATGGTCGACGAAAAGAACATCGTTTTCGTAATGATACATGTGAATATTGTGGTAAAGTATTTAAAAATTGTTCAAATTTAACTGTACATCGACGTTCGCATACTGGTGAAAAGCCATATAAATGTGAACTTTGTTCATATGCATGTGCACAAAGTTCCAAATTAACAAGGCATATGAAAACACATGGCCGTCATGGTAAAGATGTTTATAAATGTAGATTTTGTGATATGCCATTTTCGGTACCAAGTACATTGGAAAAACATATGAGAAAATGTGTTGTTAATCAAAATAATCGAAATGCTGCGGCAGCGGCTGCAGCAGCCGCTGCTGCTGCTGCTGCAAGTCTTTCCGGTGGACATCATCATCATGCCGCATCACCATTATCTAATGCTGAATTAGCAATATTAATGCAACAACAGCAACAACAACATCAATTACAACAACAATCACATCATCATCATGCCGCATCACATTTACATGGTAGTGGTGGTGCTAGTGTTAATGTACTTTCAAGCGCAAGTTCAGCCACAAGTAATGATAAAGATTCTGATCTATAGTCCCTTTCGTCAAATATCATCATTCAATTCAACAAGAAAAAAAATATCAACCTTTTATCAGATGAAGACGAGCTTCTTTCAACAAACAACTACCCGGTCAAATCCAATCATCATCATCATCATCCCAATCAATCAATCGATCGATCATCACACACCTTTTATCATACCTTAAGCATTTATTATTTGATTTGATACCTTACAGGTGATATAAGTTATATTAAATAATATGTATCTTCTATATATAAATAAATAACCAGTGTAGGAAAATTCATTCAGATTTTTAAAATTCATTTCATTCTGATTATTACATTTTTTTACCATTATTAAAAAACAAATTTTAAGTCAAACAAAATTACTATTATAAATATCTTTACACATCACACACACACACCTGAACCTGTTGTTTACATGAAAATTTTGATCATCACCGATGAAAACTGAAAAAAAATCTATTAAAATCATAATGGCCAATGATACTTTCAACATACAAACTAAACAAACATCTCTTTTAATCAACAACAACATTATCTTTTTCAAATCTTCTTTATTTTGTTTTGTTAATTCTATTATAATAATTGTTTTTTTTCTTGTTTTTTTTTTTGCTTTGAAAAAAATTTCCTGTCCTGTCCTGCCTGTCAAATAAACAAACAAACAAACAAAAATTCTTAAATCCATAAAACACACACACAGACACAGACAAAAACAAACACCAGATTAGCGCAATAGATTTTTGGTCGTATTATAATGTCATCATTATTATTTGATAATTTGTAAAGAATTTGTTAAAAAAAAAAACATCAAACTTAATAACAACAATTTCATTTCTCTCTTTCATTCATTCATTTCTTTGAGGAAATTTACATTCATTTTCTTCAACTTCTTCATTATCATTATTGTTTTAGATATAAATTAATTTGTGAAAAAAAACATACAAACAAACAAAAAACTGAACAAAAATATTTTGATTGTGTCATCATCATTCATTTTCTGTCAACAAGGTATATTTCAAAACAAAACTAAACAAACACAAATCAATCGACACACACTAAAGTATTAGTTGTCCATTGAAAAACATGATACCACCAAATGTAAAACAACAACAACCTGTATGGCTGCCAATCAGGTAAACTTACCTGATAACTAAACCGCAATCAGAATTTCTTTTTCGATTCAAGCACACAAATATCATTTGTCTTTTTGGAAATAAATTCTTGTTACAACTAATATAACAACTCCTTTCCTTTCCTTTTTCTCTAATTTACAATTTCTTCTCCATTATCATCATTATCATTTGAACAAACAGAAAAAATATTTGTCCATTTTTAAATTTGAAAATTAAAAAATAAAAATTAATAAAAACATCGCTTTCATTTACAAATCTTGTAATTTTAAAACAACAAAAAAATAATAATAATGATAATTAAAATAAAATTTAAAAAAAATTAAAAATTTCAATTTTTCTTTGTTTTTTTTTGGTTGTAAAAAACACTTTGATTGTCCATTGGATCAAAGGAATGAGAAATTAGCATTTGGATTTTTTTTTGTTGTTGATCACACGCTACCGTATAATTTCGTCTTATGCAATCAATTTTTTGTTCCTGATCGATTCTAACGGAAAAAAACAACAACAACAACAAACCTAAAATACATCTAATTGGCCGGAAAGTGGGCTGTTTTTTTTTGTTGTTGTTTTGTTTCGGGAAAGTATGACATGTGTTGTTTTCCATTTGTTGTTTTCGCCTGGCCAATTCAATGTATCCAATTCTCAGGTCCATGCCAGGTTTGCTTAAATGTTTTTTTTTGTTTTCCATTATGATTTGAATTCATTTGGCTGTCATTTCATTTCATTCATCCATTTTGACACCTATCAGATGTGTATACTTTTGGGGTATCACAATCCCAATAAATTTCAAATGAAAAACGATAATAATAATAATTATTATTATTATTTTCATTTGAACAAAATCGAAAAAATCGACACGATTGAATGGCTATTTCGGTTCAAATGGTATGGCATTTCCATCATTCAGAAATATGTATTTTAAATCATCATGGATAGATTATTGTAGCGTTTTTATTATTTATCGAACAACAACATTGATGACATATTTTCATCATCATCATCATTATCATTCATTCATTCATTATCGGTTGCCCAGGAGGTTAATTGTTATTATTATTAGCAGCAGCAGTTAGTTATTTTTTTTATTAATGTCAACTATTTTATCATCGATCGATTGATCCCTTGTTGTTTTTTCGGTTTGCTTGCTTACTTGTATAGAAGATATTTATGTTATGTTTTTGTTATATCGACCACCATCATAGTTTCAGTTGATTAATATTATCTTTTTTGTTCGTTTTACTTTTTCGTTAACCCGTCCAATACACAAATTGTCTTTTTGCTGAATCTTTTTTTTATCGTTATTTTTTTTAATTTCATTCAGCAGCCAGCTAATTAACTTACCTTTTTGTTTCTAAATGAAAAATAAAAAGATTTTCTAGTTTGTTGTTGTTGTTGTGTGCGCTGGTAAATCAACAACAACAAAAACCTGATTGACAACAACAACAACAACTAATGATTAATCTAACGACTACGCCGACAACAACAAATCATAGTTTTAAAGGCGTACGCCATGTCTTATCTATCTTGCTTCTCTTTTTAACGACGTCCATTCATCCAGGTTGTTTTTTTTCTGTTGTTGTTGTTGTTCTGGCTTCTTACTTGTTATCGTGTATATGAAAACAAAAAAAAGGATGGTCATCAGGAAAAAAATGGTCAATTTTTTTTCTCTGTTCATGCCATTCACATATCATTCATACATGTGAATTTTGTTTGTTTTTTGTATTGGTCGGTCGATCGGTTATGAAGGCGTGATTTTTGTATTTTTTTTTTCATCTGAAAAATATAAAACGATAAAATGGGCAGTTTTTCTTTTTCACTTTACTTGGCCATTGCTATTGGATACATAAATGTTCAACTCAACACACACACACACAGCAAACAAACAAACAAACATATATGGATGACCTCAAATGCAGCGCCCAAACCAACGCACACACACGCATACACCGATAGATAGATAGAATAGCCTGAACTGGTGAAAAAAAAAGTTATGAAGCGAAAGGAAAATTGCCTATTCAGTGTTCCAATATACCAATGGTCTGTGTGTGTACGGTATATTTTGTGAATGGCAGAAAAAAAGAAAAGGAAATGGAAATCAGGAAAGGACAGTCGCAGATATAGATAGGAAATGAATCGAATTGAATATTTATAAGATATCCAAAATACCAGTACCAACCAGAAATGAAAAAAAAATATATGGCGTCCGAATAACGAAATTGAAACCGAAAATGCTATGGCTATGTGTGTTTGTGCCTGATCGAACGGACAGTCTCTCTTTCTTCAGTTTTTTTTCATTGCTGGTCCAGTTATATAGATCATCATCATCATCATGGACAGTTTTTTTTTGTTTTCTGGGTGTTTGTGTATGTCCCAACGAAGAAATAAAGATAGCAATAGGAACTGTTTTATTTTCCCTTGTTGTTGTTGTTGTTTGGTTAGTTGGATGGTCTTTGAAATCGATGCTTCGATTTTTTTTTTGGATTCAGTAAAGTTGCAAGAAGAAGAAAAAAATACGAATTTCTATATAGCCTTGGACAGAAATAAAATGTTCACACACACAAAATGTACACATACTTATACAGGAGATAGGCAGGAAAACGAAAAATATATTATGCTGAACGTTAAATTGGTTCACCAAAAAAAAAAAAAAAAAAAAAGTTTCCAAGTTACAAGGAAGACCGATCGACCGATCAGAGAAAATGATTCGACCGAAAAAACCAAGCCAACCAACCAACCAAAGTAAAATCAGTTGAAAATTAGAAACGAAAAGAAGGGAAAAGAAAAGAGAAAAACAAAAAAAAAATTGACCGAAACAAAAATATATTTAGGTTGTTTAGGAGATCATCATCAATCGGCCGACAACCGATCATCATTGCTTATTGAGAAACATACATATGGCGAGAGAGAAAAAATCTAAAGATAGACCGAAAATTGGACGTAACTATTAGAATAACTTGAATAAAAAAAAATGGGCACCATCAATTGAGCGAGAGAGATGAATGAATATGAAATGGGAAAGCAAAAAAAAGTTGGCAACCATCAATTCTCTCTTTTACAACAAAAAACTGACACCATCCAAATACCAAATGCGTCCATAACAAACACACACACTAACTAACCATATATATTGAGAAACGGAAAACATACACATATTGTTTTCTTGGCTCATCATCATCATCATCATCATTGTTGTTGTTGGTATACAGGGCATGAATATTGCATTTTTCTTTTTTTGGCACATCATTTTCTAACGGTCGGTATTTTTTTTCTGTGTGTGTGTGTTCGATCTATCTGTTTGAACATTAGAGAATTAGTGTCTATGTGTGTGTCGTTGATGAATTTCGTTTGTTATATAAATACCAAACATACACAGAAAGAAAGAAAGAAAGCAACCGACAACCAGTTCCGACATTTTGATATGGTTAGTGTGTGTATNTTGTTGTTGTTGTTTGGTTAGTTGGATGGTCTTTGAAATCGATGCTTCGATTTTTTTTTTGGATTCAGTAAAGTTGCAAGAAGAAGAAGAAATGAACGAAAAAATAAAACGAATTTCTATATAACCCTGGACAGAAATAAAATGTTCACACACACACAAACACACACAAAATTTACACATACTTATAGAGATAGGCAGGAAAACGAAAAAAGAAAAAGAAAAATATATTATGCTGAACGTCAAATTGGTTCACAAAAAAAAAGTTTCCAAGTTACAAGAAAGACCGATCGACCGATCAGAGAAAATGATTCGACCGAGAAAACCAAGCCAACCAACCAACCAAAAGTAAAATAAGTTGAGAATCGAAAATTAGAAACGAAAAAGAAGGGAAAAGAAAAGAGAAACAAAAAAAAATTGACCGAAACAAAAATATATTTAGGTTGTTTAGGAGATCATCAATCGGCCGACAACCGATCATCATTGAGAAACATACATATGGCTAGAGAGAGAAAAAATCTAAAGATAGACCGAAAATTGGACGTAACTATTTAGAATAACTTGAATAAGAAAAAAATGGGCACCATCAATTGGGCGAGAGATGAATGAATATGAAATGGGAAAACAAAAAAAGTTGGCAACCATCAATTCTCTCTTTTTACAACAAAACTGACACCATCCAAAATACCAAATGCGTCCATAACAAATACACACACTAACCATATATATTGAGAAACGGAAAACACACACACATAT